GATAGATTACATGCATTGAATTACTTATTGTATTGAAGCCTGATTCAGTATAAGGCAGCTTCATGTGTTTAGCCACGGTGGTCTCCTCTACATAGGTTCACGCAAGTGTGGTGAAACCGGCAACCAGTTTTGCTTTACGGCTGCAGCAACCAAGCCTGGATTTGAGATTTCCAATTTGCACTTTAAAAAAAGAAAGAAAAAAGCAGGAATGATAGCTTACTTTTCTTTTTTCCAAATCGTCATAAAGTGAGCGCGTTCTTCCCCTTCCCCAGAAATTTTAATCAGACTGGATGTTCAGTGTTAAAACGAGGTGGGTGGGTGGAGAGAGAGAGAGGTTTTCAGGACATAATGGAATAGCCGAAAGCCCACAGTTTGCAGCGTGATCTAGAAGGACTTAATTAGATTAGATGGCGCTTGGGGACAGAAGGCTATTTCCAGAGGCTGCTGGGACGGAGACTCAAAAAATATGACCCATCTCTCTCTCTGGTTCTTTTTTTGTGAGATCTTAAAAGCCTGTGTGAATCAGGTCACACACACCCCCGTACTCAATTTTGCGCACCTAAAGCTGCGGTGGCTCAAGTGGTTAAGATGCTGAACTACAGGCTGTGGAAGGTCGGTAGTTCAGCAGTTCAAGACTTGAGTGTGCCCCATGACGGAGTGAGCTCCCGTTTCTAATTCCAGCTCCTGCCAACCTAGCAGTTCGAAAGCAAGAAATTGCAAGTAAATAAATAGTTACCACTTCAGTGGGAAGGTAACAGCGGTCCGTGAGCCTTGGTGTTTAGTCATGCCGGCCACATGACCACGGAAAGGTCTTCGGACAGCGTTGGCTCTTCAGCTTGGAAACGGAGATAAGCACCGCAACCCTAGAGTCGGATTCGACTGGCTTTCGAGCAAGGGAACCTTTACCTTTTCCTTTTAAAGATTTAATGCAGATTTCTAAAAACGTACTGCATGGAAGAAACAAACGCCCATTTCTTGCCGACAGCGGCAGAGAAGGTGTTGGGCCCGTACCTCTTCTGACTGCAGACAGGAGAATATGCGATCGAACACTCCTCAGTCACCTCTCAAACACAGGCCCTGTGACAAACGGTGTCAAGGGACAGAGGAGCGCCTGTGTGCAAGAGGCTGTTCCGTGGCTGTCTGCCAGGGTTCCCGCCACTCAGTCAGGCTATTCGGTAGCCATCTGCTTTGCTCCTGAGCCTCTCGAAGGTGAAACGAAAACCCCCACTTCTCCTATAACACCAGGAGTTTTTCTTTACCCAAACTGCCAGGCTGGTACTGCATTGCTCTCCAAGAAAGCCAAGAGGACAATCTCTTTGCACGTTTTCTTCCTTGTGGATACTGTCTTCTGGTTTTGAGCAAATGTTCGACTCAGTTGCAAAAAAGTCCAGCCTGAGGGCGCTTTGTAGCCGCTTCCGTTAACTCTCAGACCACTGACACCTTCCGGGGATGTTGTTCCAAGCTGTCGTGGGGGCTGCCTCCAGTGGGCGCCACTCAGAACCAAAGCCGACATTCCCAACGGCAAAGGCGACTGGCCGTGAATATCCTCTCAGTGGAGTCCCAGCCATGCCTGCTTTTTGCAGCCTGTGTGTGCGTCAGCTCAAAAGCTCATACCCTTTATGGAGGAGAGATCTATCAGTGGTCACTAGGCATGGTGACTGAGAGGAACCTGAGTCCCAGAGCCAGGAGGCAACATCAGGGGAAGGCCTCGGCCCCTATGCCCTGTTGTTGGCCATCCAGGGGAATTGGTTGGGGCCACTGTGTGAGACCGGATGCTAGACTAGACAGACCACTGGTCTGATCCAGCAGGGCTCTTCTGATGTTCTTATCAGGGGAAGGCCTCAGCTTCTATGCCCTATTGTTGGCCATCCAGGGGAATTGGTTGGCCACTGTGTGAGAGAGGATGCTGGACTATGTGGACCTCTGCTCTGATCCAGCAGGGCTCTTCTTATGTTGTTATTAGGGGAAGGCCTCGGCCTCTATGCCCTGTTGCTGGCTTTCCAAGGGAACTGCTTGGCCACTGTTTGAGACAGGATGCTGGACTAGATGGACCACTGGTCTGATCCAGCAGGGCTCTTCTGAAGTTCTAATGAAGGCCTCGGCCTCTGTACCCTATTGTTCGCTGTCAAGAGGAACTGGTTGGCTACTGTGTGAGACAGGATGCTGGACTAGATGGACCACTGCTCTGATCCAGCAGGGCTCTTCTTTTATTCTGATGAAGGCCTCGGCCTCTATGCCCTGTTGTTGGCCCTCCAGAGAAACTGGTTGGCTGCTGTTTGCAACAGGATGTTGAACTAGAGGGACCACTGGTCTGATCCAGCAGGACTGCTCTTATGTTCTAATGAAGGCCTCGGCCTCTATGCCCTGTTGTTGGTCGTCCAGAGGAACTGGTTGGCCACCACGTGAGACAGGAGGCTGGGCTAGATGGGTCACTGCACTGATCCAGCAGGGCTCTTCTTGTGTTCTTCTGCACCCTAAGAAAAACATTGGGACCCCTGACATTCTCAGTCATCTCGAGACCGCGTACCGACCAATTTTGGGTTTGCAATCAGCAGAGCTAAAGATGCAGCCAGATTTTCAACGCAGAAATAGAACAACCTCTCTTTAGAATTCACTCCCATAATGTTCTGGGGCAGATGGGAGCCGTTTTGAGACGGTAATAGATCCGCTTTGTGGCTTTTTGGGGAGAGGGAGGTTGGAGTCTGAAACGCTGCCTTCTGCTTGTGCAGCATCAATGAGGCCTTGGCCATTGAAGCTGTCGCGCCAAAGCGTCCCTATATAGAGCAGGATGCACCTGCAGCAATAATACAGCTGATGAGGCGGAAAGTATTGCATCAAAAAGAACTGTGGCGTCGGGAAAATTGCGTGACGACACCACACAAATGATATCTTTCATTTTGCAGTTGTGCCTCGCTCGTAACAGCTGCCTGGTGCGGCTGAGTGGCCGGGGATAGTAAGCGGAAAGATCTTTGAAATGTGGGGGTCTGATCTGAGCCCAGCGGAAACTTTCGCTTACATTGCTTCGAAGAAGTAATTGGCCTGATTTAAGGTGGGAATTAGACAGGCATGCCTCACAGGTGACCGTGTCCCAAGGCAGCTCACAAAGTTTTTCCAAGGGAATCTCTCGTCCACATTCTGACCAAATGAGCTTCCACTTCAGTGATGCATTGTGTGTGTGTGTTTGTGTGTGTTCAAAGGGCTGTCAAGTCACAGCCAACTTACGGAAACCCCACGGGGTTTTCAAAGCAAGAGGGTGAACAGAGGTGGTTTGCCATCGCATAGCGATGCTTGGTGGTCTCCCAACCAAGTACTAACCAGGCCTGACCCTGCTTAGCTTCCCAGCTCTGACGAGCTCGGCCTGGGGGCATCCAGGTGAGGGGGATGTATTATGTACCTTTAGCCAACGCCCTCGGCCCAAGGATGTACTTTTGGCACTCTGTTCACTACAGTCCTTTAATTTGATCGCACTCTAGCCTTTACCCATAAGGAAGAAGAAGAGATTGGATTTATACCCTGCCCTTCACTGCCCAAAGGTGTCTCAGAGGGGCTTACAAACTCCTTTCCCTTCCCCTCCCCACAACAGGCACCCTGTGAGCAGTGTTCCCTCTAAGCTGAGTTAGTGTGAGCTAGCTCACAGTTTTTTAACCTCCGTCTCACACATTTTTGTATTAGCTCAGGAAGGAGGGCTCCAGAGCAAACTAATTTATGCAGTAGCCAAATCACTTGCTCACAGCTTTCGTGCCAGTAGCTCATAAAGTAGAATTTTTGCTCACAAGACTCCACAGCTTAGAGGGAACATTGCCTGTGAGGTAGGTGGGGCTGAGGGAGCTCTTGACAGAAACTGCTCTTTTTCAAGAACAGCTCTTATCAGAACTATGACTTGCCCAAGGTCTTCCAGCCAGGTGCGAGTGGAGGAGTGGGGAATCAAACCCGGTTCTCCCAGATTAGAGTCCGCGCACTCAACCACTACACCAAACGAGGCAATGATCTTCCCCTTAGTAGTAGTAGTAGCACAGTGGTTACAGTAGAAGAAGAGCTGGTTTGTATACGCCGCTTTTCTCTACCCTAAGGAGTCTTAAAGTGGCTCATAGCCACATTCCCTTCCCCTCCCCAGAACAGGCACCCTGTGAGGTAGGTGGGGCTGAGGGAGCTCTTGACAGAAACTGCTCTTTTTCAAGAACAGCTCTTATCAGAACTATGACTTGCCCAAGGTCATCCAGCCAGGTGCAAGTGGAGGAGTGGGGAATCAAACCCGGTTCTCCCAGATTAGAGTCCGCGCACTCAACCACTACACCAAACGAGGCAATGATCTTCCCCTTAGTAGTAGTAGTAGCACAGTGGTTACAGTAGAAGAAGAGCTGGTTTGTATACACCGCTTTTCTCTACCCTAAGCAGTCTTAAAGCGGCTTACAGCCACTTTCCCTTCCCCTCCCTAGAACAGGCACCCTGTGAGGTAGGTGGAGCTGAGAGAGTTCTGTGAACTGGCCCAAAGTCACCCAGCTGGCTTCACGTGGAGGAGGAGGAGGGGGGAATCAAACCTGGCTCTCCAGATTAGAGGACAACGACCTTGGGCCAGTCACGGTTCTCTCAGTGCTCTCTCAGCCTCAGCCGCCTCACGAGGTGCCTGTTGTGGGGAGCGGAAGGGAAAGTGATTGGAAGCTGAGACTCCTGAAGGTAGAGAAAAGCGAGGAATAAAAACCAACTCTTTTTCTCGTAATCTGGAGAATGTGGTTTGATCCCTCAGCCTCCACGGGAAGCCAGCTGGGTGGCCTTGGGTCAGTCACAGTTCTCTCAGAGCTGTTCTCTCAAAGCTCCCTCAGCCCCACCTATCTCTCAGGGCGTCTGTTGTGGGGAGAGGAAAGGAAAGGCGATTGTAAGCCACTCTCCTGGGTCTAAACACAACAGAGTCTGCTCCAACAATGCAGTTTGAGCATCTGTGGTTCCCGTTTCCAGATTCCAGTTCTGGCTTCTGTCTCAGTTCTGTTTGCCTTTCCTTTCAGATGAGTACAATGCCTGGACTCCCGACTAGGCCTTGCTTCTATGACATCGACCTGGACCCAGTGAGTGGAGAGGTGACTGGCCTGTTTTGAAACAAACTGCCAATCCAGAGTGAGTATTCTGAGGCTCTTAGAACTATCATGCGTAAGTAGGCATGGGTTGCCCTGACAGAGAACGGCACCTCATCGTACCCTTACACCGACTGACCTGGTCTCCGCAGGATGTGCTGATTAAGAACACAAGAGAAGCCATGTTGGATCAGGTCGATGACCCATCCAGGCCAACACTCTGAGCGCTTTCACACATGCTAGATAATGCCGTTTGAATCCACTTCAGCGAGAGAGGTGACTGGCCTGTTTTGAAACAAACCGACAATCCAGAGTGAGTATTCTGGGGCTCTTAGAACTATCATGCTTAAGTAGGCCTGGATTGCCCTGACAGAGAACGGCACCTTACACCGACTGACCTGGTCTCCGCCGGACGTGCTGATTAAGAACACAAGAGAAGCCATGTTGGATCAGGTCGATGACCCTTCCAGGCCCAGGGAGGACGGCTCCAGAGCAAACCGATCTTTGCAGGAGCCAAATTGATCCCGGCTTTAATGCCAGTCGCTCACAAAGTTGAATTTTTGTTCACAAGACTCCACAGCTTAGAGGGAGCATTGTTTGCAAGTGGATTTTGCCATTTCACACAGTACAATCCAGTTGAAAAGTGGATTGAATGTGAATTGAAAGTGCCTTACTTGGTATGTGTGAAAGCATCTTCTGTGTCCCTTTCCCTCATTCCCTCCCTTCCCACCCTGACTGGACCGATTCACATGTTCCTGCAGCATTGTGGGAGTGGGGCCTTCCCAACGAGGTGATCCCAAGATGCTTCAGGAACGTGTGTGGTTCATGCGTGAGGAAACTGCACAGGAGGGAGCCCATTCTGAGGTTTCTTGTCTCACAAACGTCCCCTTCCAGAACACTCTTGAATAGGCCCTCTATATTAATTGTCCCTTTCCCTCATTCCCTCCCTTCCCATCCTGACAGGACCGATTCACATGTTCCTGCAGCACTGTGGGAGCGGGGCCTTCACCACGAGGTGATCCCAGGATGTCTCAGGAACGCGTGTGGTTCATGCGTGAGGAAACTGCACAGGAGGGAGCCCATTCTGAGGTTTCTTGTGTCAGAGTTCTCTCAGCCCCACCCACCTCACACGGTGTCTGTTGTGGGGAGGGGAAGGGAAAGGAGTTTGTAAGCCGCTCTGAGACTCCTTTGGGTAGTGAAGGGCAGGGTATAAATCCAATCTCTAGTTATTATTATTGTTATTGTTATTGTTATTATTAAAGCCCGCTTGAGTTCCTGACCACGTTCTGTAAATTATTCAGTGCGCAATTGATGCCGAGTAAGAATTAGGAATAGTAGCTTAAGACTGAATGGAAGCCATGTTTGTCTGTTGCCATGTGCCCCCCCCCCGCCCCAAAGTCTTGCAGCACCTTAAAAGATGAGCACAGCTGCTGTGGTAAAAGTTTTTGTGGGCCACAACCTGCTTCATAAAATGCATGAAATGGTGCCTTAAAGTTGATGTGCATCTATATAATCGACACACACTCTTCACATATGAACTGTTTTCCCCTATACTAAGTCAACTCATTGGTCCATCCAGCTCAGTACCGTCAGTTTGGTGTAGCGGTTTGTAGAGCCAGTTTGATTCCCCACTCCTTCACATGCAGCTGCTGGTGTGACCTTGGGTCAGTCATAAGTTCTTTCAGAGCTGCTCTCTCACAAGCAGTTCTCAGAAGAGCTCTCTCTCAGCCCCACCTACCTCACAGGGTGTCTGTTGTGGGGAAGGGAAGGGAAAGGAGATTGTAAGCTGCTCTGAGACTCTGAGTGAAGGGCAGGCTATAAATCTCCTTCTCCTCCTCCTCCAGAGTCTGAGACAGAGAATAGTTTTCCTTGATATCCTTTATTCATTCATTCATTCATTCATTCATTCATTCATTCATTCATTCATTCGATTTATACCCCGCCCTCCCTGCAAGCAGGCTCAGGGCGGCTTGCACTGGTCAATACAAAACAACAATTAAAATCACATAAAATCCTCTAAAACCAGTTCAATTATAAATAAATCATGGTTCATAAAGTGCTGGCAATGGTGATTAGTTTGAAGATGGCTTACTTAGGAGTGTACAGAAAGGTCTCACAATCATTCTGCTCATGATCTTCCTCATACATGCGCGGCGCAAGCTAGGTGTCGAAGCCAAGGGCCAGGGCTCTATAATTAAAGTTGTTGATGTATTGGCGGCTCCTTAGTTGAAGGCCTGGTGGAAGAGCTCCGTCTTGCAGGCTCCCACCAGTATGGGAGCCACCAATGAAAAGGCCCTGGCCCTGGTAATAGCAAGCCTGGCATCCTTGGGACCTGGGAGGGTCAATCGATTTTGCGACCCCGACCATAGTGCTCTCTGGGGTACATATATGGGGAAAGGCAGGTATGTCGGACCCTGACCATATAGGGCTTTAAAGGTAAGCACCAGCACCTTGAAGCTTGAGTTCCTTTTAACTGGAGATGCCAGAGAGTAGAGAGAAGTGCCAGTGGGGAAGGAAAAATGTAAAATGGGGACAGATGGCCAAGAAGGGCCGGGGGTGGGAAGGTGGGGTCAAATATATCCAAGACAAAATCACCTTTCTACGGCAGCCAATGATGATGTCTTAGCATAGCAAGCAGGATACCTGAAGCCTTTTCAGGTCATTCGGTTCTACCACCTGAGACGAATGCACAGCAGCACATGACCCTCCCAATATTCACGCAGGGCTCTTTTTGTAGCAGGAACTCCTTTGCATATTAGGCCACACCCCCTAATGTAGCCAATCCTCCAAGAGCTTACAGAGCTCTTCTTACAGGGGCTACTGTAAGCTCTTGGAGGATTGGCTACATTAGGGGTGTGTCGCCTAATATGCAAAGGAGTTCCTGCTACAAAAAGAGCCTATGACCGCCATTTTGTCTGAAAGGGGTGATATTTTCAGATGTGGTATGCATGAGGCTGAAGATACATGCCTGGCCTCTTTCAGGCATAGAACAGCGACTGTGTCCAGATCAGGAGGATTTTATGTAGCGTATTATGCACATGGTTAAATGTAACGACCGAAAAGAGCTCTACGGAGAGGATAATTGTTTTAGGAGATGGGAAACGTGTTCCTAATATTGTAGCAATAATTTATGTAGAATGGCAGCATTCCACCCCACCCACCCCCAGTGTAAGATATGGATGTTAGTTAAAAACACGGCATATCTAATCAGTATGGTACCTCCAGCTCCAGGTTTTATGTGAAGGGCTATTGGAAGGTAATGGGAAAAACACAGTTATTTCCTCTGGCAAATGTGGAGAAATATGTATATTTCCTTTTTTGTTTTCAGCTCAAGTTAATCTTACATTGTGCCTATATAGTGCTGTTTTTGTGTGCGTGTTGGGCTACTTATTTGTTTTCGGCTTCATTCAATGTGCCCAGTAGCCCTTGTGGACTAACAACGTAATTCCCTCCCCCCTTCTTTCTAGTAATGTCCATCTGACAAGGCGTGAACGAATTAATCATTATGGCAAGATTGGAACTCACTGGAAACCAGAAGCGTGAACAATTTAATCATGACGGCAAGACTGAAATTCACTGGAAACTTCGAAGTCTTTTGGGAGACTATTTTCCTGCGTATTTTTTTTTAAATCTGCAATGCTGCAGTTTTATTGAGTGATTCACTTTTTCACTCCCATACAGATGAAAATCTGTACAGCATTCTTTTAAATACTGATTTTTTAAAAAAAATGGCTCATAAGGTGACTTACGGCAGTCAAGTTGACACCTTGTTGTCTCTGATAAAGGCTGAAGGTGTTCGTTTGTTTTTATTTACTTACTAAAACTTCTTCTGGGTGATCCACGATCTAGTTAACAGTGGACACATCTACATTCCTCCAGAATGACAAGTAACTGCCCGTATACCAAGCTCCTTACAGCTCTGAAATCTGCAGCCAAGGCAGAGATATCGTGGACTTCACCTCCAGTTTGGCTGCCGTCCAGCCTTCTAATGTAAGCCCGCATAGCAGCTGGTCTAGCAAGCTGACTGCAGCCCCTAAAGGATTTCGAAATTCTACTCGTTTTTTCCCCTGCGCACCTGTCATGGCTGTGATGTGTGGCTGGTGGCACTGGATCGGGCTCAGTGGCTTTGCTGTTGCCTGAATATGTCTTCTAACGCAGCAGGGCATTCGCCTCCGGTGATGGCACCCCATAACATCAGGGCAGAGCTGTGCGTCAACCCGTGCACTGCTCACTTAAGCAGCTATCGCAAACCCGGATCTTGTGACTTTTGAGCACAGGTGCGCCAAGCCTCTCGCTGTGTGAGTAGCCCGGATCTCCCAGGTGGTAACACTGTCTTAAAACACCCACCTGGTTTTCAACCTCTTCCCCCCTCTCTCTCATTGCATTGCTAAAAATCCGTGTTTCTTTTTAAGAAGAATCCTGCTTTCCTAACAGACACGGTACCCGGCGTGTAGTCCATGCATGCTGCAGCCAAAGAGGACGGTTAACCTTGCAATGACCTTGCTGCCAGCCGCAGCGGCATATCGCCAAGACGCTGGCCTTGCCCAGCACCGTTTGTTGCTTTTAAATACAGCTTTCACTAGAGAAGCGCAAGGCACCTTAAAGTCTAAACACTGCCTTTTTTCTGACTGCCGTAGCTTTAACTTTGGATTGCTTCCGCGATTTGCGCTTGTTGGGATGGGAAGCGGAGGTTTGGTCCTTGCGAGCCGCACATTCCAAACTTGGGTGGGTGTCGAAATCCCACACTGGTCATGACCTTACTGTAGCACGTACAGGCATCTGTGCAGAAGAGGCTTCCCAGGATGACCCTAGTGTGTTCAAAGCCCACATTGATCATGGCCACGCCATAGCACCTACAGGCATCTGTGCAGAGGAGTCTTTCGAGGATGACCAAAGAACGCTCAAAGCCCACATTGATTATGGCCACACCATGGCACCTACAGGCATCTGTGTAGAAGAGGCTTCCCAGGATGACCCTAGTGTGCTTGAAGCCCACATTGATCACGGCCACGCCATAGCACCTACAGGCATCCATACCATAGCACCTACAGGCATCTGCAGAAGAGGCTTCCCAGGATGACCCTAGTGTGCTCGAAGCCCACATTGATTATGGCCACACCATAGCACCTACAGGCATCTGTGCAGAAGAGGCTTCCCAGGATGACCCTATTGTGCTCTAAGCCCACATTGATTATGGCCATAGCATAGCACCTACAGGCATCTGTGCAGAAGAGGCTTCCCAGGATGACCCTATTGTGCTCTAAGCCCACATTGATTATGGCCATAGCATAGCACCTACAGGCATCTGTGCAGAGGGGGATTTCCCAGGATGACCACAGGAACATCCTCCTCCCAAGGACACCTGGTTCCCCAAGAATACCCCTTGCTTTTCCAGAACGGCCCCACTGCACCCAGCTGGGAACACAGGAAACTATAGTAGAGAGCTGCTACCTTGATGCCTATCATTAAGACTTATTTGCTAGTATTCAGATTGCACCAGTTTGGTGGAGGAAACTGACAAGATGGAGTGGAACACTTTGGCCTGGACATCTTTTAGGTAAACTTTCCAGGGCTGGGAATGTCGGGGTGGGACTGCTCCTGGGTAAACCCAGATCCCGATCCTCGGATCAGCAGTCGCCTTTGCCGTTTGCGCCAACGTCACATGCAGAAATTAGGGTGCAGTCCTGATTATTTTTTTTTAAGTCAATAAATGCCTTCAACCCTTGTTGCGATTGGGCTGGATCTCCCACGCCGGCAACTAGAGGAAAAGAACACGTCCTCCAGTTGTCTTTTAACAGCTCCTGAGCCAGATTTTTAAATTTTTCTACAGTGTTTTTAAGTATCACCTTTTTTGATCAAACAAAGGCGCAAAGAGTCTTGGGGGTTTTTTTTAGCCAGAGACGTTGTGTGACCCTCTTCCCTCCGCACCCAGCATCAAAACATACCGCGCTGCTTTGGGGTTGTTGTTTTTTTTAAATGTGAAAACGTAACTGCTGCCAGACTTGTAATTAACACCAATAAAGTGCTACATCTCTTGAAGAGCTCTCTCCGGTGTTTAATGTATTCGTTGTGATTAATGGAAAGGAACTTTTTATGATGAGTTACAGAACTCCGGTGGGCAGGAGGCCCTGCTTGTTTATAAGGCGAGGAAAAAAAACAATCATCGTCGCCATTCACCTCCGCAGTGCAGCAAGATGGCCGGGCCTTTTAGTCTCCCGGGTTTAGATTTGGTTGGCAAATCGGAGGCCTGAAATGATCAACCATGATTTGATACACGTACAGATGTTGAATAGCTTTAGTAGATCTACCCGGGGACTTTAGTCCTGGTCAGGGGTCATTTCGTAGAAAAAGAGGTGCAGGAGCTCATTAGCATAACTTATTTGCATATGCCACACCCCCTGACATCACCGGAAGTGTGTCAGAAGGCAACACCCACCGCTCAGGCTCCACTGGAGTGCTAGCTATTTGGGGGGGACACACATGCAGATCTGTCCCTGCTGAGGAGGGAGAGCTTGTACCTGAATAAAACTTGGTCTTAAAGGTGCCACTGGACTGTTTTGGGCCGGGGGGGGGGGCTCTGCAACTTACCTGGCTGCTTCCTGCTCTGACTGAGGGCTGCTGGGAGCAGGGGGCGGGGCTTGTTGCATGTGCCCGCCCCCTGGGCTCTTTACTGCTGGAGCTCCGCTCCTGTGCGCTCCTGCAGGAAATGACCCCTGGTCCTGGTGAGTCTACAGGATGTACGGCCCCACCCACAGCAGTGATTTGACCCACTTGTGGATTAATAACTTGTGACATTTCCATTTGAAGAATTTCTTCTTTAGAATAGAAATATCTCTAGGGGTTTTTTTTAAAAAAAAATCAGGGGTGGCAAGTGCTTTCTCCTGCTACCCCTAGTAACTACGTTCCTTACTCCCATCTACACCCATCCATCACCTGGTTTGCAATGTAGAAAAGAACAAGAGTCCGGGAGCCCCTTAAAGACTAACAAAATTTGTGGCAGGGCAGGAGCTTTCGTGAGTCACTGCTCACTTCCTCAGATACAGCTAGAATGGGAGTCCATCCGAAACCACTCCACTCTCCAAGATGGACCCACATTCTAGCGGTATCTGAAGAAGTGATCCGTGTGACTCACGAAAGCTCCTCCCCTAACTTTTGTTCTTCTTGAAGGTGCTGCTGGACTCTTGCTCTTTTCTACCGCCACGGACTAACATGGCTACTCATCCTGGTTTGTAATGGAGAGCCAGCGTGGTGTAGTGATTTAAGAACGGCAGGCTCTAATCTGGAGAACCAGGTTTGATTCCCCACTCCTCCTCCACAGGAAGCCTGCTGGGTGACCTTGGGCCAGTCACAATTTTCTCAGGATTCTCTCAGCCCCACCTGCCTTTCATGGTGCCTGTTGTGGGGAGCCGAAGGGAAGTCGATTGTAAGCCGCTCTGAGGCTCCTTAATGTAGAGAAAAGGGGGGGATATAAGAACATAAGAGCAGCTGTGTTGGATCAGGCCAGTGGCCCATCCGGCCCAACACTCTGTGTCACACACTGGCCAAAACCCAGGGGTCATCTGGAGGTCCACCAGCGGGGCCAGAACTCCCGAAGCCCTCCCACTGTTGTCCCTCTCCAGCACCAAGGACACAGACCATCACTGCCCCAGACATAAGAACAGAAGCCATGTTGGATCAGACCAAAGGCCCATCCAGTCCAACACTCTGTGTCACACAGTGGCCAAAACCCAGGAGCCATCAGGAGGTCCCCCAGTGGGGCCAGAACTCCAGAAGCCCTCCCACTCTTGCCCCCCTCCAGCACCCAAGAAGACAGAGCATCACTGCCCCAGACAGAAGAACATAAAAGAAGCCACGTTCGATGAGGCCAGTGGCAAATCCCGTCCAACTCTGTGTCACACAGTGGCCCAAACCCAGGGGCCCTCAGGACACCCACCGGCGGGGCCAGGATCTTTCCGTGGTCATGTGGCCGGCATGACTAAACGCCGAGGTGCACGGAACGCTGTTACCTTCCCACCAAAGTGGTGCCTATTTATCTACTTGCAAGTTCTTGCTTTCGAACTGCTAGGTTGGCAGGAGCTGGAACTAGAGACGGGAGCTCACTCCGTCATGCGGCACACTCGGGTCTCGAACTGCTGAACTACCGACCTTCCACAGCCTGCAGTCCAGCATCTTAACCACTCGAGCCACCGCAGCTCGTGGTTTAAGTGCATGGACTCTAATCTGAGAGAACCGGGTTTGATTCCCCACTCCTCCACGTGCACCTGGCTGGATGACCCTGGGCAGGCCAAAGTTCTGTCAGAGCTGTTCCCTCAAGAGCAGTCCTTGAAAGAGCTCCATCAGCCCCGCCTGCCTCACAGGGTGTCTGTTGTGGGGAGGGGAAGGGAAAGGAGATTGTAAAATGCTCTGAGACACTTAGTGAAGGGCGGGGTATAAATCCAATCTCCTCTGCGCCTTCTCTCTTCTCAGTGGGGGGGCATGACGTCACTTCTGACCATGAAAAAATTTAAAAAATAGATGTATCATGTGTGATTCGCCTCGTGTCCCAGTGAAGAAGCTGGATGGGGTTGATGCCTGCCGTGGCTTCCCCCTTGGGCTTTGCAACCACAGGGGAAAGCACCGCCAGCCCTCGCCTTTGCTCACCAGGGCACATCTTGCTGCCCACATCCCTGACCACTGGAGAGCTGAAGGC